CCTTCGTTCCGGGTACTGGCAGATATCAGTTGATCTGGACCATAAAAAGACAGCATTTATAACTCCCGACTGGCTATATCAGTTCAAAGTGATGCCGTTCGGGTTATGCAATGCCCCGGCTACATTCGAACGAATGATGGACGCTCTTCTTCACGGCTTCAAGTGGTCAATCTGCTTATGCTACCTTGATGACGTCAATGTTTTTTCGCCAACTTTCAAAACTAACTTCGAGCGTCTCTCAACAATTCTTTCGGTTTCCCGCAAAGCAGGGCTCCAACTAAACTCGTCAAAATGTCACTTCGGCCGCTGGCAGCTGACAGCCCTTGGACACCTTGTTGATTCTTCTGGTGTTCGTCTCGATCCTGAGAAAGTCCGCGCCATCAAGAATTTCCCTGTGCCGACCTCTGCGAACGACGTTCAAAGCTTTGTGGGCCTTTGTTCTTACTTTCGTAGATTTGTGCGGAATTACGCTGTCGTCGCACCCCCGCTCATGGAACTATTAAAAAAAGTGTGACTTTGTGTGGGGCCCTGAACGAACCAGAGCATTCGTTGAACTGACGACTAGACTTCCGACGCCATCGATCCTCGGCCACTTTGATATATGCGCTCTAACGAAAGTGCGTACCGATGCCAGCAGCCACGGAATCAGAGTTGTTTTGGCATAACGACAGCATGGCTGCGAGCGCGTTATTGCATACGCTAGCCGTTTTTTATCGCCAGCAGAGCGAAATTACTCCATCACAGAACGCGAATGCCTCGCACTCGTCTGGGCAGTGGCTAAATTTCGGCTGTATTTGTATGGACGCCCGTTCACGGTTGTCGCTGATCAACACACCTTATGCTGGTTGTTGTCCTTAAAAGATCCTAGCAGACGTCTCGGCCGGTTGGCTCTACAGCTACAAGAATATTCATACACGGTTGTCTACAAATCAGGCCGCCACCATGAGGATGCTGATTGCTTGTCGCGTCATCCAGTAGACCCAGCAGACCTTTCTGAGAGCAATGAGTCTACTTGCGTTTTGGCACTTTCCACTTTCAGCAACATCGGAGATCAGCAAAGCCGTGATTCTCACCTCAGAGATTTAATCCTTCGGCTCGGTGGTCCCACAACTCCTCCGCCTCTCCGCATGTTCCTGCTCCAAGATGGCGAATTATATCGCTACAGCATGCATCCTGACGGACCTGAGCTGCTGTTGGTGATACCACAACATATGGGTCAGACTGTCCTCGCACAGTCGCATAATATTCCAACAGCTGGTCACCTGAGAGTTTTAAGAACTTATAGCCGCATACGACGCCGCTTCTTTTGGCCCGGTATTTACCGATCTATCTGCCGTTACGTCGCCTCATGCAAATCCTGTCAACACCACAAAAACTAGCAACCCTTCCAGCAGAACGCCTTCAGCCCATTCAGATCCCATCCGAACAATTTTATAAGGTAGGTGTCGACTTACTATGACCGTTCCCTTATCGGCCAGCAGAAATAAGTGGATAGCAGTCGCCACGGATTACACCACTCAGTATGCCATCCCGCGGGCCCTTCCTACCAATTGTGCGACCAATGCCGCTAACTTTCACCTGGAAGACGTCATACTACACCATGGCGCTCCTCGGCAACTGCTTACCGATCGGGGTCGCTACTTTTCATCACAAGTTATCCAAGACATATTACAGTCTTGCTCTACAAAGCACAAGTTCACAACGGCATATTATTCTCAAACCAACGGGCTCACGGAGCAGCTAAATAGAACCATCATGGACATGCTAGCCATGTACGTTTCTTCTGACCATCGTGACTTGAACTCCACTCTCGCATTTGTGACATTTGCCTATAATACGTCCCGGCGTGATACTGCAAGTTTCTTGCCATTTTTTTCCTCCTGTATGGACGAGAACCTACGTTGCTTTTTGGACACGCTACTTCCTGCCGTTAGCCGCACGTCAGAATATGCCCGCGATGTGATCTCTAGAGCTCTAGAGGCACGTGAGATTGCTTGCCTGTGTCTGAGCAATTCCCAGGAACGACAACAACTAGTCTATAACGCGTGCAATCGTGATGTCCACTTCAGTCAAGGTGACACAGTCCTTCTCTAGACGCCATCACGGCGAGTTGGTATGTGCGAAATGCTGACTTCGCCGTACTCGGGTCCGTACCGTGTAGTGCACCAAGTCACCGACGTGACATATGAAATTGAACCTCTTAGCGCGACCAGCCCGCAATCGTGTTCTGGCGTTATTCACGTCACTCGGCTAAAGCGATATTACTCGGACCAACCAAGCACCGAGACGGTGCCTTCGCCGCCGGGGATGATGCTACAGGGTGCCAAAAATGAACATTATAGGAAAGAGGACGATGTTTAGGGCGAGCTCATGCAGACTGGGCTCCGTATTGTACGCCTGCTTGTTTACCTAAAGTAAAGGTATATATATATATATATATATATATATATATATATATATATATATATATATATATATATATATATATCTATATATATATATATATATATATATATATATATATATATATATATATATATATATATATATACACACACATACACACACACACACACACACACACACACACACACACATATATATACATGCTTTCCTTCAAATAAATTATCAGTTGTTAGACCAGCGCTTGTCCTGTTTCCTTCTCTAGTGCGTTTCCTTTTGTGCGCTGCCCCAGATAAGTTCTAAGTCGCCCGCCTTTCAGTTCTACGAAAGAGTACTCTATCCATCGAGAGAAACAGGGTGGTAATAAAACAGCCAACTGGACAGGGAGACGGACTTTCTTGTGCCAGCACCTACTGGACTGTGATCATCTCATGGAACCCACGAGTCAGCGACCAACAAAACTAGTAAGCCTTACCCTTTTTTTTTTCCTACGCAGAGCAGGCTATCCCTCTATGCGGCGTTTACATGCAATTGCTAACGTAGCAATAAAGTGCTGTTTGTTGACATAACCTTTTGGTTTATTCACCCCAACCCACGATAGCTCCTATGACTTGCGCTACAGAAAGGGGACTTAGATATATGCATGGCATGCTGTGTGCGACTGGCACAGGAGCTAGGCTTCTGCATCAGTCGTGCAGAGAGTGGACTCCTCGAAGTCGATAGCCTTCGTAACGCTCATTGACTCAATGGAGTTGTGGAGCTCCTACCTGGCAGCTTTTAATGGTTGTTTAGTGGTTCAGGTGTATCTGACAAAAACAGCCTGGCACTGCAGATCTTTATGGTTGTTTTTGGGTAACCAAAAGTAAAAGAACTTAAATCCACTAAAAATCCCAAATATTAGCTATCTGTGTTTCAATATTTATATAAATTGTTTATACACTGTTATACATACATTTGAACCTTTCAGCTTGTTTAGCAGCAAAAGTGAGGAAATGTTTTCACCACTCAGATGCGACAACATAGGCACGTTGCTGTTGTTGAGAGTATCTGCAGTTTGCACATATCAAATGCCGAAGATACTTTGTTAAATTATTGATAACCCTTATGCATATTATTTATACCACACACAGCTTTACTTTTTTATGTCATTGTCCATATAAGCCCAGAGAGAACTAGAGAGCACATTAGTGCCATTACTTCTTCCATTGTTCAATGGCCATTAATGTCCCGATACAAAGTTGAACTTCGATTTAATGAAGTCACCAGGACCCATGAATAAGCTTTTTAAACTGGGAACATTGTAAAATTGAAAACAGGATTTTTCAGTCATCCCAAATTGAAAATAGCATCGCAGCAACTCACAAAAGCTACCACGTCAGTGTATTCACCATTAACTCTCAACTGCATGCTTAAAAGACATGCAGGTTAGAGTTAATGTGATTGATTGCACGCTTACATTATATACACCTCAGCTGAGCGCTTTTGCTATCTGCTGGGACTGACCCAAAGCCTGGAAAGAAATGCGCAGGCTGTTGTTCATGCAGTTTCAGTTTCTAGTTTCGCAAGAACCAAAACAAAATGTGTCCGCTCCGTCGATTATATCGCTCCTCGCTGGCAGCACTGCCAGACATTCTAGACCTCATCAATATGAAAAAGCTCTTTTTCTATGCATCTTTTTTTTTCTCCTGGATGCTTCGTTAAGATGGGTTTTGTGATGAAGTATGCTTCAGGATTTCAAGTACGTAAAGCATTAAACCTATGGGCGACCCTGCGAGGGGAATTCTAATTGTTCGTTAAATTAGGAAAATCGTAAGACTAGGTTTCATAAAATCGAGTTTATGCTGTAGTTGTATAATGCTCCATTCTGCTCCATTATACGTTGACTCTGCACCCTTTGAAAGTGCCTGTGTGTCAACTTGAACTTGACCTTTGAGTCTTTGGACTATCTGTTAAAAGCCTTCCTGTTAAAATGCCTGTGTGACATGGTTGTTACACAGACATTGATTGATGGATATGTGTGGTTTACCGTCCCAAAACCACCATATGATTATGAGAGACGCCGTAGTGGAGGGCTCTGGAAATTTCGACCACCTGGGGTTCTTTAACGTGCACCCAAATCTGAGCACACGGGCCTACAACATTTCCGCCTCCATCGGAAATGCAGCCGCCGCAGCCAGTTACACAGACATGAACCACTCTTTATGAGACCAGTCCTAGCTGAAACGTTCAAACTGGACAGGCTCGCATGAACATGTCTGGCTTTTAGGGCATTAGCCCAGGTGGTGCTAGGGGACAGCAAATGGATTGAAGATGCGCTTTCAGCTGAAAAGAGAATTTATAAACCTACTTTCAACAGTTCCAAACGGTGAAAAAAGCTTACAGTGACTACTGCGTTACCCGAATGTAGCATGTAAAGATCATGCTTTCTTTTCTTAGTGTCACAATTTGAAACAGCATTTTAACTAAAACTACCCTGGTTGCGACTGTGATTGCGAGGTGACTAAAAATAGAATTTTCATAAAGGCTGGTGTCCACAACAACATGGTGTTGCTGACTGACTAGTAAAACAGAAGATAGTGTAAACGTTTAACACTTACAGTCTGTCTCTCTCAGCAAGCAGGAGAGGCTGTAGTGCATTATGTCCATCGTTACTTTCAATTTCGATCAACCTGTAATAAAAGACAACATACGATTCCATTCATGCATAACATGCACATCGCTGCCTTGAAACACGAGAGATATTTAGTTTACAAAAAACATCCGAAAGAGTTGAGTGAAAAATATACCGCTGTTCAGTCACATGCAGTTCACGAGTGGGCTAATTTGCATAAAAATGTTACAGGTAAAGCATTAGATTGGAGATGGCAGCACCACTAGATCTTTTTTTTTTCTAGGATGTATGCAATGTGACAGCACATTTACGAATCGCCTACGAACAAGGCATTTTGAATGTTCAGTTATGTTAACCAGAAATTTTAGACGGGTGATCCTTGAAGTTGTGTAGAGACGACTAGTTGGTGTTGCTGCTACGTTTGAGATTAAAGGGACACTAAAGAGCAAAGCGTTTTTTTTTGCGTATTAGTAAGGTACAATTCCACAATCTCGAAAACACCACTCTTACTGCTACAAGACGCTTGGGTAAAAGAGAGAACGTACAAAAAAGAAACTGTTGGTATATACGCCACCTTGAGATTCCCGCATCAAGCACTGTGACGCAGAAGAATTTTAAAGGAGTCTACTGGGTCCTACATAGCTTCTAATCGACGAGATTGAAGCGCAATGTAATCTGTGGGTGCTATTGCATACGAAGTTCCAGAAAATTTCATCAAGCCAACGTCGCGCAAATACGAAAAATACATTGTGGAATTCCTTACGTCAAGCGTGAAGGTTACGGTGCAAAATTTAAAAATGAAACTTCAGCCTCGGTTTCCTCCACTAACGATGAACTTACGAGAATGAAACTTATGATATTTATTTTATTTTATTTATTTATTTTATTTATCACATACTGCGGACCAAGTATGGTCCATGCAGGAGAGGGCAATACAGTACAAAATTCTTCTACATACATACACTTCCGCCGCAGTATACATTCACTGCAGAACAAAATTCATGTACATTAAAAACTCGTGAAAAACAAGGGACAAATACAGGCAAAGAAGCAGACTTAAGCAACAAAAAGATGATTATTGCCTTACAAGTTAATTGCCTCAAAAAAAATTTTGAATCCGTCTTGTTTGAGCAGAGTTGCAAGGATTTGTAGCGCGCTGTAAGCGCCTCACGCCGCGACGAGCATGCTGGATGTTAAGCAGGGAAGGTTGGCACGTAGAAAAGAAGTCGCGTCACACGCAGGTCATGACCGTGAGCACCCTTTTCCCATGACCGTGAGCACCCTTTATTAGAGTTATCAGAGTGCAGTATATCAATCTAAAACAACTCAACATTTCTATTTAGTGTCCCTTTAAATGTTAGACAAAAGCAAAATGAACTGGCACAACCGACACTCAGACTGCAAGGCATTGTGACTGCATGCACTCGCCAGGTAAAAAAAAAGGTACAAGTGAACATACCACTTCCACTGTGGCAGCGATTTTTGTTGTACTGCACACAGTTCCGATTTCAGATTACTGCGATATGATGATTTACTTTGAAATGAAATACTAGCGCAGCTATAACCACAGGTGTGCACCCAAATTACTGAACTGCTACCATTTTTCTCAAATACCAAAACCAAACCATGAGAGAAATTGCAGAAGCCCTTTGGATTGAAAAACTAAAAGAGGAGTATGTCAGCCATCCTTCAATCGCCTTGTTAGATAAAGTAAATTCAATGCTGTCATCATATTTTTAATGACGTTTTCTTCTCAGTTGTTCGATGTGCCTTCAATGCATGATGTCATTATGGACATGGTCATTATATCATTATGCTATTATGGACGCGCTAATCTGTGGCATTGTGATCACAAGCGATTGTGCGAATGCTGTGCTGCTCAACGAGATCACGCAGATCATGTTGGGTACTCGAACAAATGTTTTTTTTTTTTTTTTTTCAAAAATGCTCTTTTGTTTTGTCCCTGTTTGTTTGTTTACAGGTGCTGAAAGATGAATACCAATTACAGTAAAAAGTCGCCACCAAAAATTCTGATGTCGGTGTCCTTTAAGGAGGCCCTGGAACACTTCTTGGGCATGGTCAGAAAATTTGGCCAATCCGTAGTCGAGACTCCCAAGAGCATGCGAGCCAAACGTTGGAGCACAGCATGCGGCACGGAATCTAGAATTAATTCTCAAAGTCGGCTAAATATCGCTTCATAATGATCATTCGGGTGAGTTGGTGTGCTTGCATTATGAAAAAATACTAGCGCAACGAAAATGGGAACGAGAATAGAAAAGACAAGCTACAGCGCTGCAGTAGTAATATTCAGCGCTGTAGTTTGCCTTTCCCATTTTTGTCCCCGTTTTCGCCCTGCTAGTATTCGTTCAAGATAGAAATCCCTTGCTGTTCTCTGGACAAATTATGCCATACACCCAAAGTGCTCGGCCATTGGCTGATTTGAGAATTGAGCACTTTTGTCACCGGGGCAGGTGAGGGATGGCGCGACATGCCCGTGCGCTCACCTGCGATCCCACTGAAAATAAGTTGCATGTTCGAAGAACAAAAAGAAAAGGGTGCTCACGGTCATGACCTGCGTGTGACGCGACTTCTTTTCTACGTGCCAACCTTCCCTGCTTAACATCCAGCATGCTCGTCGCGGCGTGAGGCGCTTACAGCGCGCTACAAATCCTTGCAACTCTGCTCAAACAAGACGGATTCAAAATTTTTTTTGAGGCAATTAACTTGTAAGGCAATAATCATCTTTTATTAAGCCATTGAAAGATTACTAGGAAAAATGTTGCATGACCTAAGGGGGAACATGGCACTTAAATAACAAAATTTCTCGATTGATTTCGATGAATCTTGCAGAGATTATGCCTACCCGTGTACTGAATTCAATTAAGCAGTTATTTTTTTTATTATAATGTGCAGTTTTCATAATACAAAATATTTCATGTGCCATAATACAAAATATTTCATGTGAACAGAATTTTTCCTAAACTGAGATATTTACAAAGGAAATCAGCATATCCCAATTATGTGGAATTAAAGCTCTGTGCAGTAGGAAAAAAAAAAATCTATACTCATCTGGGTATTTAAACAATTCATTGAAAAATCCTAGCTTGACACTGACTTAATAACCAATTTTTGGCAGCATACCATAACCTCCATTCAAATGGGTTTAGAACAATGATTTTTAACGTACTGCACACAGCTTTAATTTCGGATTGTTCTGATATGCTGAGTCACTCATTAAGTTACCACAGTGTGTTACTCGACAGTTAGACAATTTATGTGGGTAAGGTTTCAAGCATTACCTACATAAAACCACCACACTTACTTTTTCCTAACAAAACTGTTCTTCAACATGTACCATGAGAAAGCAGTAAAAACTGCATAGAGCCCAAACATCCTGTAACCTGAAAGAAACGAACGAATTATTGCACTGTCTTCACACAAGTATACCGGAAAGAAACCACACTGTAACAAGAGCTCATAGTGTTTATCACTGGTTCAAACCTGACGGCTCGTTGAACACTTTCCAATTTCTAAATTAGTGGTTACGTCTGCACAGAAATATTAATTGGTGTTTGTTGCTAGTGTGCTGCCTTCATCTTTAGTGGACCAGTGGCAGGTAGTGGGACTGGCCTAATTTTCATAGCGCAAAAGTTTTTGACAGCGGACTACTTTTCATTATTCGTGAACCAGTGCAAGTAGTGGGTCTTGTCCAATTTCTGGGGCACATACGTGCTAGTTCTTGTGCACACAGGATGGACAAATCTTGAATTTGCTAGAATATTTACATCTTCGCAGCAATATCTGACATGATGCATGTGTAAATGAAGTTTAGGTGGTCTTCGCTTCATAGGAAGATATTCAGGAAGACTTTCAGTGGGAGACATTGACTGCCACGGCAAGTCCGTAAGCATGTGGTGTTTCCTCCTCTGGGCCCGTGGTTAATCTTTTTGAATGTACAAACAGTTTGTCAGCATATTGAAAAGTTCCGCTGTTTGTTTTAATGTCAATAAATCATTCATTCTGATGTGCTATACCTTTTCTTGTATTTCAGGTGCTCGCAGACAAGTTAACAGAAGTGACCCAAAATAAAAAGGGTAGGACACAAGAGAGAAGCCAGGACAGCACAAATGTTGAGTAACAACTTTCAGAATTAAGCACAACATTAATTAGAACTAACAGACAAGAAAGCCAAGGAAAGTGTAGGGGATGTAAATTGTACTAATTGTAATGTAAATTGTATTGTAAATGGGAATAAAGAAAAGTGGATGAAAAGATAACTTACCACTGGCATGAACCAGACCAACAACGTTTGAATAACGTGTGACCTTTGAATAATGGTATTCGAAGGTCAAAAGTTTGGTTCATGCCAGTGGTAAGTTATCTTTTGTCCACTTTTCTTTGTTCACATTTATATTACAATTATTAATAATAACATCCCCAATACATTCCAGGACTGTCTCGCTGTTAGTTCTAATTAATGTCGTGCTCAACAACAACAAAAAAAAACGAGCCCTTAAAATTCCCCCTTTTTTTATTAACAGAGCTGCAGGTTAAATTTGGGTTGTCTTGACTTCTCACTTGTGTAGGTGTTCCATGTCTATCACTTTTAACCATGAACCCATACCAACTAGCGCAGCTTTCTGCCATATGAAGTGATAAGCCTCAAGCTTAAAAAGTCTTACAATAGGTCCATTCGATTTGCTTGCACCACGTGAACCAGTTCACAAGGCGCTGCACCTTGCCATTCGTTTCAGTGGTGCAGCATTGACGACCTCTGCACTCTGCCATTTGTTTCAAAAGGTGCAGAAGAGATGCCGCAGTGGTTCACGATTTTTCTGCACCTCCTGCGCTGGCGGTGCCGGCTTGGTGCAGCTGCGCGTGCAGCTGAGAAGATGACGCAGTGCTTAGGCGTAGGCGCCGCACCTGCCTTATTAACGCAGTGTGTTTAGCAAAAATGTCTGCGCCTCATAAATTGTCTGCATGTGCGGTTCGCCATCGGTCAGTGTTAGTTGAACGGTGTTAACTAACCAAACAGAAATAAGGGCTGCACTTTGTCGGCACATAGTCATCCGTTTCGGGTGTCGCGCTTTGCCTGCACCACTGAACTCGCGCTGCACGATTTCTGAACTTCGTGTGCACAGCCATGAACGGGTTCCGATTGGTGCAGGTGAATCGAAAAAACCTAATGAAAGCTGTTCCGAGATCACAACAAGGGCCAATTCTGGTATCAAAGTACGCGAATGGCACCGCTAGTGTCTGTAATTACTGCCGCCCCAAATAAGAAAAGGACTTACTAAGTAAAAAAATACCGAGGTCACAATAGGAATCGAACACGGGTCCTCTATGTGGCAGCCCAGTGCTCTACCGCTGAGCTACGCCGGTGATTGAAGAACAGACCTCATTTGGGCTTCATGTTGGACAAAGAATCATGTTAACATGTGTAATAAATCATTTTAGATGATTGAAATAGCGACCAGACGTCACACAATGCTAATTGCATAACAAGTGAGTCGTTGAATTATCCAGCCCATTACAAAAGCCTCAGGCATAATTCTACATTGTCGTCAGCCACAGCATCAACACAGTGCACTCGCCCCGTCGCAGTGGTCTGACCTGCAAGTAGTGGGATCGAATCCCGCCTGCGGTGGCTGCATTTTTGATGGAGGCGAAAATGCTGTAGGCCCGTGTGCTCAGATTTGGGTGCACATCAAAGAACCCCAGGTGGTCGAAATTTCCGGAGCCCTCCACTACGCCGTGTCTCATAATAATATGGAGGTTTTGGGACATTAAACCCCACATATCATCATCAACAAAGTGCACACAACAGCTTAAAGTGTGCAGCAGGTATCACGGTTTTTCGAAAAATTATGAATAATGGCATAGTGGATGCTTCCTCACTACACAAAAATCATGAATATTTATGATGCAGTGGGTAACCTGCAAGTGTGTTAGTATCCGAGACCCAAAGAGTGTTTAAAAAAGGCTCCGGAAAGGTCGCTCTTTCAGCTTTCACTGTGACTGTGCCGCTTGTTCTCTGCAGGCCTGGCGGTTTCTTGGTTCTATTTTCTATCACTTTGACTCACTTTATTAAAAATAAAAAAATAAAAACAATTGCTCCTTTAATGAACATGTAAACTGCTCTGCCTGTATGACAAGTTTCAAAGGTGTGGAATGAAATCTTCTTATGCATAAATTGGTTGTGAACAAGTTGTATATCACATGAAAGCAATCTTGGCAATACTGCAAGGCAAGCAACTGTATAATTTTCACAGTCACTATTAGTGGCCGCTATTATATACCAGATAATCATGTGAAGCATGCACCTAATGATTGAAAATTGAGACGTAGGTTTATTTTTAAAGGTACTTATTAGCCGATGGTGGCATCTAATCTCAGATTACACATATTGGAGGTTGCAGGTCACATCTGGACAGCGGCAACGGCAATTGTTGTTGCAACGGTTTTAAAAAAGCTATACTTTTGCAAGCTTGTTACAATGCATGCACTGTAATTTCTAACACAAGCCTTTGCGTACAGGTTGTTTTATATCTGCACAGTCTGAAAGGAGGTCTTTCGCATGCCACAGAGTTCAGTGCAGTTAGCTATTATAAGGCTGCGTGTCCTTAAGACACGCAGCCTGCAAGTGAATGTCCTTAGGAGGAGACGGCGACGAGAGTGGAACGAGGCAAACAGCCTTAGTTCAGTGATAGTGCTGTGTGCAAGAAAAAAGAAGACATGTTGCAGTGATCAGAAAAGCACGCTCGGGATGAAGAACAGAAGTGTTGTCCATCACACATATCCTCTTCTTTCATTCATCGCACTGAGTTTGATTACACATCTAACAATGCATTGACTTAAGGTGTTGCAAGTCTTAGCACCTCCAAAGAAATCGCTTACAAAATTCATAGCCGCATCACATGGTTGCAAGTGTCGAATGAAGTAGGATGACTGCTGGCACTTCAGCGCTGGCTGAAAAGGTGAGAAGCAAGCTGTGTTTGATTTCAAGATTTACAGCAACTCAAACGAGCAGTAATTAGGTGTAATAAACGCTAATCGCAAGAAAGGCATCGCAGTGTTCATGTATGTCCTGTAAAGATGGATAAATTGATATATGCACCTGCTTCATGACGACCACGAGTCATCACAGCGCGTATCATCGTATCATGTCGCGACGATAGGTGTTACGGTACTTTGCAATCTTCCACCACTAGAAACAAGAACGGTATATAGCGCGATAGCGAAATTCACACTGGCGAACGTTTCCGTGGTATATTGCACAGCCGGCGTAGAGGAGTTCAGTTGAGGTCTCCTTGAAACGTCCTGTGCAGCACCGAGGTTCAGATGCTAAGAGCCGCGTAAACCATTAGGTGAGATGAATGTTGTTTGATACTTATGAAACTTACCGGACATTAATACTTTGGCAGGCACACGTTTAAAATTGAAGGGGGCATAGCCCCCTTCAGGAGGCAAATCCTGCTTGAACCCCGACGTCGCCATTCCGCACGAACCCCGCGGAGCGGTTGCTGGCTTGAACTGGCTTGATGTGAACTTTTAGGCAGCCGTTCTAGGCTGACCTGGCCAGCGCCTCCTATATTTTTTGAGTATCCGGGCGAAGGAGCGGATTTCAATGAAAAGCGACCGCCAGTGCTAGTGCGGTGTTTTGCCGCCAAGTGCCGCAACTAGAGGAGAGATGCCGCTGCATCATCTTTTGCTCAAACAAATGTCACTGCTGCATTCGAGGCTGCTATATGGCTCGGTTTTCAACCGTATTCGCATTGTTTAAGATGTAATAGAAACTTGGAAACGAGAATCGTGAAACACTTGTTGTTTGGGATACGCAGCTCATTTCAAAGACATGTGTCGTTCAAAGGCATGTGTCGTCTGCTAGGCCAATAGATGAAAAATTGTTTTGTCACCGTGACGTTCGCTTGACTGAGAGTTGCTTTTTTGACTAACTGAAAGTCGATTTTTGAGAGAAGCCTTCGTCTCGAGCTAATAATAATAGCTTGAGTGCCTAATGTTCCCCGATACTTGCTACTCTCTAGTGGCGCAGCAGATTATGCGCAAGCCTGGAGTTCATGCACTAAATAGCACTACATGCCACTACACTGCACCCAGAGATATAGGTCATCATGTGTTCTTTTCGCAAAGCATTACATATGTTGCCACCGGGAAAAAGCAATTGTCAGAAAATGAGGGGCTATGACAGGTGATTTCACCATTTGTGAGTTCAAACAATGAAATCATCGTGAAATAAACAAAAACAGCTCCACATGCGGTGTGATTTCTGTGATTATGACCTATGTTTTGAACAAGTGCTGTTGAAGTCAGGAGTCTAATGCCGACTCTCAACTTCAAATAAGGCGACGGACATGAAAAATACGGCCTTATGCTTGAGCTTGTCTGTATATTCGTGGACGGATTGTTGTAGCCTGAATATCCGGCTGCTCAGCTCTGTTTCTTCTTCCCTCTGGCCTCTTAATTCGGTAACGAGCAGAGTAGAGACCGAATGACAGTGTGGTCACTGTGGCACGTGCCCATGGGCTCCCACTAAGCTTCGGGGCGTATTGTTAGCGTTGTACAAGGCAGAGATCGTGAGGCAGCGTTGTTACTGATAGACTCATTTGTTGGCTCTTCAGATGCAGAGCACTCCCGTTTAGTGACACGAATCGCCATGTTGCCAAACGTGACGGGTATAGTTTTCAGCCACCACTATTTTAATCTATAAAATAGTTGGGTTGTAGATGATGGCTACATATTAGAGTTCCGTACAAGGATTTATCAGATAGGAGACCAATTGTTCTGCCTGTTTACTGCAAGCACGCTCCGCCAAACAACGGCGGCGTCCAGCGTCTTCTCGCGTCGGCGACGTGAACACGAGTGATGCAACAAATCATCATTACGTGAAAAGTCATCATATATTACGTCAGATATCATGAATGTTTGTGATCTATCGGAAGGTCGCATAACTTAACGGCATCGTTTAGCATCTTCGCTTGGTTGAAATGGGCTGCTCATGAGAGCAGTGTATAATCAACTGAGGGGCAGAAAGCTAGCTAGCTGTGTCTCCAATCCTTGAGGCAGTAAGAAACCTTGTTGGGCACTGAAAGATCCCGGAGGGATTCAGGGCATTAGATATGAAGAGAACGAGGAGAGTTTTTGCCTTTCAGTCGTCTCAGGTGAATCCATAAGGTGACTGGCGAGTTTTTTTTTTGTAACGAATGTGAGAAACAAAAAAAAAGACAATCTGATTTTTTTGTCAGATATGCAGAGTGGTACACACACACACACACACACACACACACACACACACACACACACACACACACACATATATATATATATATATATATATATATATATATATATATATATATATATATATATATATGAAGGTATATATATTTATTTCCCAACAGTTTCGGGAGGGGTCCTCCCTTCATCAGGGTCATCCCCTGATGAAGGGAGGACCCTTCATCATCACGATCATCAAAGTCAAGGCACGAGTGAAAATTAAACCCTTCATCATCATCATCACGATGATGAACCCTTCATCATCATGATGATGATGATGAAGGGTTTAATTTTCACTCGTGCCTTGACTTTAGGCACCAATCAGATAACCTCCTTCTAGTTAATTCTACCCGCTTAAAGTCTATTTTGCCCTCCCTGTCCCTAAACCCCAGTGCTTTGAAAAACTCTGCGCCATCATCCTGAACTATAGGGTGACACCCTTTACAGAACATTATCAAGTGTTCGGCACTTTCTTCTTCCTCTCCACACGCACTGCATACCGTGTCTACCCCTTTGTATTTGGCCCGATATGTCTTGGTTCGCAATACTCCTGTCCTGGCCTCAAACAGTAGAGAGCTACCCCGAGTATCATCATAGATACTTTCCTTGGCAATTTCCTGCTTAAAAGGTCGATAGATCTCTAATGCGGACTTTTTAATCATGCCAATTCTCCACATATCGGTCTCAGCTTCCTTCACCTTCTTCTTAACCGATAATTCTTTTTGGTTTGTCCCCCTGCTGTTTTCTAAGTACTTACCAGTCAATTTTCTGGTGCGCTTCCTCCATCTTGTATCGACATTCTTCATATACAAGTAGGTGAAAACCATCCTAGTTCAACGCTCCTCCCCCATTTCTCTCAATCACTTCTCAAATTTTATCTTGCTGCTAGCTTCCCTGCCCTCAAATGATGTCCATCACACATCACCTTGTACTTCCTGATTCGGTGTATTACCGTGAGCTCCTAAGGCAAGCCTACCTATTCCACGTTGCTTAATTTCTAATCTTGCTTGAACTTTTGATCTCATACACAAGACCACATTGCCGAACGTCAGACCAGGAACCATGACCCCTTTCCATATCCCTCTCACAACAGCATACCTATTGTAATTCCACAGTGCCCTGTTTGTCATCACTGCTGCGTTTTGTCATCACTGGCATGAGACGCTACATTCATGCACAGGGGTGAGTGTACGACGCTTCGTTAAACTGTCAAATACGACACGTAAAGCTCGAACATCACAGAAAACTTCAGAGTAGTGGTCTTCAGCCCCTTTGAACAGCCAAGGCGCTGCTTCAGGGCTTTTTACCGCACCCTACTGCCCACGCTGCGCGAAGAACGAAACTGAAACTGCAGAAAAAAGTCTGTAGACTGTTCGCTAGCTAACTCTATCCAATCCGAAGCCTGTACTTCCCATTATTCCAATCGAGATACATGACTGCAGCACCAGATTCCTCTCTATGTATGAAATCTGTATGAAAGGATTTTGTTCTCTTATTTACCGTGGGCAGTTGATAAGGCTCTTGCTTAGAAGGCGGTAGCGTCTGAAACTTGATGACCCCGACGCATGTTTTGTGTGTGCGCAACTTTTCACAGTTGAACTCAAGACTCAGAGATTGCTGTCGTTTATATAATTTAGGGGCTTTATTAAAAAACTGATCACTGCACCACCATTTTCTAAAAAAAATGTTGCTTTAGATTTTGTCACGTTGTAAGAATTAGAAAGGTGTATGAACTACATTGCAAACGCGATGGACAATTCGCTATGGTTGCGCATCTATGCTGAAAGATGGCGCAATACGTTGTGGGCTGTGTTGGAGTCTTACTGGCTTGTATGCGCATAAGCAAAACATAGCTCAATTACTAGGAGTGATAAAATTGGTTAGAGAGCTATTATTTTTTTAAGCTTCGACTATTCGTGTCATGAAAGACGTTGAAGCGAGCTAATGCAAGCGCGTTTATATCAATTCCCCGCATGGGTGTGTGCCACTGTTTTTAGGCTTTTCTTCTGCTTATATGGACGTCACGAAAATGCAGGTGGCCGAGCGGCTCCTGTAGTCTGTGGTTTGTAGTACGGTAAATAACAGTGACCACGAAAATACAAGTAGCCGAACATTCGTTTGACTTAACAATGCCTGTTAATCTATATATTTGTTGCATACATGCACGCCCAAAAACTTGTACTGATGCACAACGAAACACGTAACAACGCATAACTTGTACTAATGCACAATTTTGAACTAATGCACAACGAAACAAAAAGCACTGGTGCTGGGGCGATGCATTGAATAGTTAACAGAATGAAATTTCCGTATTCTGCACGATCAACATATCAACACAGTAATCGTTGCTTGTATATCTGAACGACTGCAGGCTGCGATATTCCTACATTTACATTTGTATATGAGCATACGATGCATTGGTTCATGTCTCGCCCTCATCTCCTTATATATTTCTCCCTTTGCCTTTCTCCGACACTTTATCTTTGTCTATCTTCTATTTCTGTCTATCTGCATTTAGGGCTTCCTTGATATCTTCAAATTTTCCCTCTTTATATTTATTTCCCTTTCTCTTCCCTTTTCTCTTTATGCCTTTCGTTCTCTCTTTTTTTCTGTGATATGTTTTGCTCTCTCATTTCCCATTCTCCTTCTTCTCAGCCTCACATCTGTCCTCCTGTGAATCTGCCCTCTACCTGCACTTACCCATTCGCTTGCTACTTGTGCTCTGCTAGCCGCTCCGACTTAGGGTGGTGTGTGCGCGAGTTCAAATACCACCTCGCTATTAATTTTTTTCGAACGCAACTTTCTGCGCGAAACGTTAGAGACACTAGACCGTTTTCCGAAGAGAAGATCTTTGGTTCATGGCTCTACGCGTCGCAGGCCAGCAAAGCGACGCGGGCATATCTAAGTTTTCTAAAGACGACCGGGCTACGCGACCGCTTATAAGCGTGCAATGGACAAGGTCACATCTACACACACGTTGCCCTTCACTTCTCTCTCCCTCTCACTTCTCCTTTAATCCCCTCATTCCTTCCCCCAGTGCAGGGTAGCAAACCGGACGTGCGTCTGGTTGACCTCCCTGCCTTTAATTTCTTCCCTTCCTCCTCCTCCTCCTCCTCCTCCTCCTCCTCCTCCTCCTCCTCCTCCTCCGTTCTGCTTAGAATTTCTTGTTCTCTCTATCTGTATTTCCTTTAATTTCTCTCTTTCTGGGCACGTCGTGTCACCCATCAGAGTTGTTGCGTCCCGTGCCGGCGAAATCCGAGTTTGCATTTTTGGGAGTGAAGCAGAAGG